TCTTGCACTGATGAATTTGTTGTATTAATACAAAACGGTTTTTGATTTGATTAGTGTTTCACTTAAGAACATTGACTTATAGTTTCTTTTCCCCTCTAGATGTAGTTGCCAGTTATTACATCTTTTGTTTTGTCTTGATTTTAGCTGAAAATCAAGAAAAAACTTCATCCATGACCTAAAAATCGGATACATAACCCTCTTTTACTTATCAAACACTGGAGCTACGCTGTGTTCTTACACGAGTAAAACTACAATTTTATTAGAGTAATGACTGCTACTATACCCTAGGTGCACTGAGAAAAATAACCAGCCACTTCACATCTGCTCACCAAGGTTAGATTAGATTAACAGAAACCTGTGTGGCTCTGATAAAGTCTGTGTGGCAGCAAAAAAAAAAGGAAAATAAAAAGACCAACAGATAAAAGACGACAACTAGGATAAAGTACAAATTTTCATGTGTATATTCTAAACAACATATACAGACATGATAGAGAAAAGGAAGCTGCAGCACAGCTTGAGATGGTCAGGTAATTACTTTTCTGCAATCGTTTATTATTATTTAACCATAATCCTGTGAGCATCTTTTTTTTTTTTACTTATTTCAAAATGAGGTCACTCTGACATCTGTATACCTCCAATAAGATGCTGAGAAAAAAAAGCTTTACAACATGAAAGGAATTGCATACATTTATCTGGAATCTCTATATGGAGGATCGAGATCACATTAAAACCCAATGCTGGGTTCCTTAGGATCAAATCTATTACGTAAATAAAATCCAGGGAGCATGTCACATTTTCACATGAAAAAGAAGCCTTATAAACTCCAGGCCTTAACCCCATTGGAAATCTTTTGAATGTGTGAAGAAGACAGCAGCTTCCCATAATCAATGCCAGAACATGGAGAAGAAAATCTATGCAACACTGGCAGAACTTAAATGTGACAATACACTCTGAAACCTTATTTAACTGATACCACAGCAAATGCTTGTTGTAATAAGCTGCAGATGGACCGATAAATATTAAAGCCTCTGACCTTTTCTTTCTTTTTTTCCATGTACATGTGTATGAAACATGCAGAGAGTATAATACAACCTCTATAATCCAAAATCTAATCAAATAGACAGTGAGTTGAGTGCATGCTCTAATCTAATACCCATAGAAATGACCAAATGGATATTTATTTGATTTGTCAGAGACCTGCAATCCATTTGAAAATACATTTTGTGAAGCAGAGCAGCATTAATTGGATTCTACAAGCTATGATCACGTCTCATTTTGGCTGCAGTCTGGTGGTTCCTCAAGGCATCACACAAAACCTAATGATCATGAAACGGATCTCTGTAACCATAAATGCTTGTATGATCGTAATAACAGAGAAATCATGCAGCTGTTAAAATCCCAACATTGACCTGTAATTATTCCTGAGAGCTGTGCCATATTTATCAGACAATTTTCTACTGTCACATCTATTAGTTTTTTTTTCATTTCAGAACATAAAGAACCTGTTTGTTACCCAAAACAGTTGTAGCATTTTCCATTATGAGGTCAAAGAACTGCAAACAAAATAACCCCCTGTTTGAATTTTCTAAAATAGATCTTTGTAACATATTGGATGTTTAAATCTTAGTTTAAAGAATAAACGGATACATTGTTATTAAAGTAGATTAAAGGTGGAAGGGTAGAAAATGCAACTGATTGTTACAAAAATGCAGATGAATTAGAGAAAATGGCAAATAAAATAACAGCATTAAATCCATTCACTATTTATTTATGCTTATCCTGACAGGGAGGCTGGCGTCTGTATCCATTAGCAATTGGTCAATAGTCAGGGTACATCCTGAACAGAGACACACAGGATAAGCAACCATGGAAACAAACACACTCATACCTGTAAAGAATATATAGGGGATTGTAACTGTCTAATCGTTGAACTGTTAGGGAAGTTTAAAGTGGCTAAGTACCTGGGAGAGTGCATAAAGAAAATGCATGCATGCATGAGAAGAACAGGTTAACTCCATGTAGACCCTGGGCTGGGATTTAACCCAGTGTAACATAATATAACATAGCATCACATGACTCAGAGTAACAAAGCATAACATTGCTTGGAACGGTTCATACAGTTATTTGATATAATATATGATCTGTGTAGCATCACTATTGTAAGGGCCAAGTTAACTTAAAGTAGTTAGCAAATGGTGCTCTCTCCAACTCCCCAGTTTAATAATGAGTAATTTATTAGATGGATCACAAGCATCGTTAAGGTGTGAGGGTGCAACCAGCTGAAAAGAAAGTAGAAGCACATCTCAACACCAAAGATAAACATGCTTGCTAAGGCAATAAAAAGCACCAAACATTAAGATTTAATGTTAGAGTTGACCCTCTTTAACAAGTTTATTTCTAGTCCATCCAGCAGTCAATGTTTCAATAACGCCTAATGGGAGTCTCATTATGATAAAGAAAATACTCAGTAGAAATGTTCTTTAATTTTATGATGATAATCATTTTTAGATGATGAGCCTGCCAGTGTTGTATCTGCCAAATCAAATTACTAAAACTCATGCTATATTATTTTAAATGCTAATAAAACAATGCAAAATCTATAAGTAGAGAAAAAAGTTATTGTTTTTCTATAGTAATTAAAACTAAAGTATGTAATAATTACAGGGATATACAGTCAGAAATGTAATA